TCGACAAATTACACTGCTGAGGGGAGCAGCGGGTGGGTCAGGAGAGGTCTGCCGCGCCATGTGGTCACCTCTGGGGCGGGCGGGGATCGAACTCACTGAAGTGGCTTTAGCTTCTTAGCGCTGTGCTTTAACCCGCTGCACCACCAGGGAGGGCCCTATAGCACTTTTTTTTTTTTTATAACAGTTTCTATAGCACATTTTTAATGGTCCGATTTTAGTAAGATGTCTACCAGGTCCTTAATGTAGCAATATTAAAGAAAGGAAAATTGGTGCTGTGATGTCGATTGCTTTTAAGTAGCTAGAACTTTTAAGAGTGGAGCCAGATGCTAAGTATATATGTTTTTAGAAAGGAAGCCAAAAATATGGTTGGAATGCACTTACTTCCGTCAAGTAGAAATGAGATTGTATAAATACAGAGGTAAAGTCCTCTAGTGTTTACTGTCACTAGAGCATGGATGGGAACATGCAACTCCCAGATGGCAAACAGCCTCGTAGACAGTGTCACAGCCAAGTGTAGTTCAAGTTTCATTGTTCGGTGGGGAAATTACAGTATTTTCAAGCATCCTTGACCTTCTGTCGGGCATGTATTAATGGCTGCTATTTCTGTGTCCGGCAGGACTTACATGAGTAAGTCCTCAAAGTCAGTTCCCTGCCGTGGGTGGTTCTCCCCTTTAGTTTGTCCCGGGCACTGGAATGATCTTTGATGACGCCTGAGGGAACAGATGACGACAGTGGTTCCTGGTGGCAGACGGAGAGGTCTTTACTCCGGCTCTCTGTGTGGTAAATCTCCCTTGCAGCCACTGGGGAGATCAGCTCCCCTCTCTCCCCTGTGGGAGAGCACCAAACAGGTGTTGTCCAATATGGGCAACATATTCAAGTCTTGTTAAGATGAGAGCTAAACAGGCGTACAAGAGAGGGACCTTCTGCCCTGGAGAGGCTTAGGAGCGTGCTCCATTTCTTCAGCCTTTCCCTTAACAGCAAGTAGGAGGAGTGGCCCTCCCTGGTGGCGCAGCGGGTTAAAGCACAGCACTAAGAAGCTAAAGCCACTTCCGCATGAGTTCCATCCGTGTCTGCCCTGCCCCACATGGTGCGGCAGACCTCTCCTGCCCACCCGCTACTCCCCTCAGCAGTGTACCTTGTCGCCCTGCCTGTTCTGCTCCCCACTCTGTCTCTGGTCAGGCCTCTCACCACCCCCATCTCTGGCCTGTACCCCAGTTCTGTATGCACAAATAAATAAATCTTCAAAAAAAAAAAAAAAAGCAAGGAGGAAAGAAGGGGTGAAAAGGAGGCAATTAGAAGGAATTAACTGGATCTATAAGCTCTGTCCCAAGCAGAGACATAAAAGAGTGAGAAATGGAGGATTAGATCATTTCTTTGTTTGGAGAGTTTTCTTACTATAAAATAAAGGTGACCCCTAGGAAAATACTCCCTGTTCTTTCTAGGGTGCAAGTCCAGATGTTTGAGCAGTGTGTTCGTTGCCAGGGTAATAAGGATCTACTCGTGGGGTGTGTCCGAGACATTTGGAGTGGCACACTGTGGTATTTAATACTGCGCTTATTGAACGGGACAGGCGGGGAGCAGCCACCAACATGCAGAAGGTGGTTTCAGCATATCTACTTTTCCATGTAAAACTGTTCTTTTTTCCCACCATTACAGCCCTACACAGTATCACACTTGAAACTTTGTGCAGGAATCATGGTAACAGCCTCTCATAACCCGAAGCAGGATAACGGTTATAAGGTATTTTGATTTTCCTTGCCATACTTACATCCTTCAGTATGAATCCCATACTTTATGATCCAGGAACATAGGTGACGTCAGAAGCTTCATTTCCATCTGCCCTAAGCCATCTCTTCCCTAGGTCTACTGGGATAATGGAGCGCAGATCATCTCTCCACATGATAAAGGAATTTCTCAAGCTATCGAAGAAAATCTAGAGCCATGGCCTCAGGCTTGGGACGATTCTGTAATTAATGGCAATCCGCTTCTTCATGACCCAAGTGCTTCTATCAATAAGGACTACTTTGAAGACCTTAAAAAATACTGTTTCCACAGGTAAATGCAAGTATGTTCACTTGATGTGATTCAGTCAAATTGTATCCATTTTCCTCATTAAAAAAAGAAAAAGTATTTATGTATGTATGTGTATGTGTATAGAGCTGGGATACAGGCCAGAGGTGCAGGGGTGGTGAGAGGATTCACCAGAAACAGAGTGGGGAGCAGAACAGGCAGAGGGATGAAGTGCACTGCTGAGGGCAGCAGTGGGCGAGTCAGGAGAGGTCTGCCGCGCCATGTGGGTCAGCTCCCTGGCTGGGATTGAACTCATACTGCAGTGGCTTCATAGTGGAGAGCTTCACAGTGCTGTGCTTTAACTGTGCCACCAGGGAGGCCCTGACTTCTTACATTTTTAAGAATCTGGTCCTCTGATAGTTTGTAAACCTTCCAGTGTTGAGAATGGTATTTATATATGTTGTCATTTATGTGTGTCTGGTTCCAGGAGTGTGAACAGGGAGGCCAAGGTGAAGTTCGTGCACACCTCTGTCCACGGTGTGGGGCATAAGTTTGTGCAGTCAGCCTTTAGGGCTTTTGACTTTGTTCCTCCGGAGCCTGTTCCCGAACAGAAAGATCCTGACCCTGAGTTCCCAACAGTGAAATACCCAAACCCTGAGGAGGGAAAAGGTGTCTTGGTAACCCAATTTTTTATTATAAAATTTCCCTTTGATGTTCAAAACTGTTTATATCAAGCAAAATAGGGTTTTATATGTTTTCATGATGCTGGACAAAAAATTAATGTCATTAAAAAATATATGTATGTATTAGTCATCCTTTTTTTTAATAGCTTTTTTTAAGATTTATTAATTTATGCATCCAAGAATTGGAGTACAGGCCAGAAGTGTGGGGGTGGGAGTGAGAGGATTCATCAAAAACAGAGTGGGGAGCAGAACAGGTAGATCTACTAAAATACACTGCTGAGGGGAGCAGCAGATGAGACAGAAGAGGTCTCCTGTGCCATGTGGGTCAGCTGCCTGGCCGGGGATCTAACTCATGCTATAATGGTTGACAATAGCTTTATAGTGCTGAGACTTAACTCATTGCTCTTCCAGGGAGGCTCTCCATTCATTTCTTTTTTTTTTTTTTCTTTAACAAGAACTTTAACTTATCCCATTCATTTCTTAAAGAAAATTTTCAATTATCTGTCTTAACCTAGGATGTGAGTGCTGCATTTTAAATGATTTTTAATTGACTCTGCTTTCTTAATGACAACTCTAAGAATAAAAAAAGCCCAGGGATAGGATAGAGGTTTATCACACGGCTTTTGTTTCTTGCTATTTTTCTGTTAAGAAGTGCTACTTAAATTATGGCTCCTTTAACTTGTTTAAAGTTTAGGGTTACAAAATATTCAGAGTCGGTTTGTTTTTTTGTGTGAGTTTGATCACAAACAAAGCCTGGAAACACCCGTCCAGCCCCCCACACTATCAGATGTGGACAGAACCCACAAGCAGGTGTGGCTCATATGCCGAAGTTCTGTTAGCTGTTCTGTGGACCCTGTGACCAGCCAAGACCAACCCCAGAAATCAAGCCCAGCCTTAGTTTGGGGAAAGTCTTCTTTTAGTTCTTAAAGAATGGTTTGCTTTTAGAAGTGGTAATTATGCTCGATTGTTAATTAAAATCATCTTTTATTTTCCTACTCTTTTTCAGACTTTATCTTTTGCCTTGGCTGACAAAACTAAGGCCAGAATTGTTTTAGCAAATGATCCAGATGCTGATAGACTTGCTGTGGCAGAAAAACAGGACAAGTAAGATCATAGTAATTACTTAGAAAATAGAAGAAATGACAAATGACATTTTCAGAGGTATAACGTTTCTGGGGAGACTGGACATATATGGAGCTACTTCCCATTTATTTTGCCAATGGTTATCTCTTCCTCCTACCAAATCCCTTGCCATAGAGCAACATGCTGATCTGGCCTGGAAGCCAAATGACTACGAAATGTAATAGACTTACTATTTGTTATCTTCCTTCATTGTATCACTATTTCATTACTCTAAATAATAATATATGACTCAGTGCCTATGGGCAAAATACTCTGGTGCTGGCTTTGTAGTTCAGTATTTAGCAGTGTTTGATAAAGACTTGAACCTTCAAGGAAATAATTGAACTTAGGTTGAGCAGCCCAGAGAGAGGAATACCTGTAGGGTCTCGATGGTGCCTAACACAGACCTGACCATAGAGTCTGTACAGAGGAATAGCAGGTATGTGGAGGTGGGAGGGGGGAGAATTGAAAGGTAGGCAAGGGCCAGGTAATTTAGGTTGTCAAACTGTATGTGATGTTGGGGTGGTGGTGGGGTGCTACTGAAGAGGTTGGAGTTTTAGATCAAGATAAAACTGGTTTCGTTCTGTTTTTAGTAGGTTGCATGCCAAAGTGTGAGATGCATTGTACCTCCAGCTACCTGGGTTACAGAGAGGAAGATAACTACACTTCTGTTCTCCTGTGTCTAGACCATTTTGGTGCTGAATTTGATCTTAAGAAATGCTGACAATCAGTAGCACTGACAGAAAATGGAGTTACACAAACTATTACTCTAAATTTATATAAGATACAGCTTATCAACACACTTATGTTTGGGTTAAAGCCAGTTTTGCTGAAGACTTAACATAAAAGCATTATGTGGCATCACACACATATGCTCTTCAAAAATAAGGTGTTTGTCTAGAAAATATGGCTGAGACATGGTAACTGCTATCACATTTCTGACAAGTTAATGTGAACAAGAATAGCAAGAAAAAGTCGTGAAGAAACTGCTGGTTTGGCTTAACCCCATCCTGCCCCAGCCAATGACATCTTACTACGATCTGCTGTAAATTCTAAGTTATTTTTTTCCTTACAGTGGTGAATGGAGAGTGTTTTCAGGCAATGAATTGGGGGCCCTTTTAGGCTGGTGGCTTTTTACATCATGGAAAGAAAAGAACCAAGATCTCAGTGCCCTTAAAGACACATACATGTTGTCCAGCACCGTCTCCTCCAAAATCTTGCGGGCCATTGCCTTAAAGGAGGGTTTTCATTTTGAGGTAAGGCTTTGAGGGATGTTTGTCCCCCTTCTTTTACTCTGCAGTGGTCTAAGGCATTTCTTTCTCTTCTGGATTATCCCATTAGGAAACATTAACTGGCTTTAAGTGGATGGGAAACCGAGCGAAACAGCTAATAGAACAAGGGAAAAATGTCTTATTCGCATTCGAGGAAGCTATTGGTAAGAAGTGGTAATGATCACAAATTGTAGCTGCAATAAATATGTAGAATGCAATAAATATGTGGTGCTTGGTCACAGTGGTCATCACCTGAATAGATGACCCCCAAGTCCAGCCAGAATGACTGGGAGACACTTGCCTGAAGTTGTTGATACAAATGAGCAGAAAGGAGCACTAGCTAGAGAAACTTGAAACTCAGACGTTTGCTAGGACTATTTCAGTATTCGTTAGGGAAATGCTATTAAACTTTATGATTTTTAAAAAGATTTATTTATTTATGCATACAAGAGCTGAGGTGTAGGCCAAAGGTGGGAGGGGGCGGTGAGGGGATTCACCAGAGACAGAGCGGGAAGTAGAACAGGCAGATCTACTGAAATACACTGCTGAGGGGAGCAGCGGGTGAAGCAGGACAGTTGTGCTGTGCCATGTGGGTCAGCTCAGCCTTGGCTGGGAATTGATCTCATGCTGCAGTAGCTGCTGTTGCTTCCTAGTGCTGAGACTCAAACCCTTGCCCCACCAGAAAGGCCCTACTTTATGATTATTAAGTTCTATAATCTTCTAATTCATCTGTGTACCTCAGCACAGATACACACTCATCACTTAACTGATTGAATAAATTATAATCCTCCATTTGTGCTCTTGTCAAAAATGGCAGTCATACCTTTCTATAGATTTTTAATGTTAAAAGATGTTTACATTTGTTTATCAAATATTTATTCCATATCAATTATGCAGTAACTCTGAAAGAAACAGATGACACTGACCTTAACTTACAGCAGTTTAGAGATCGTTAAGTAACCACAAAATAAAGATAGGTCAGGTGTCAAGATGAAAAATGACCTCCCAAGAAGTATGGGGATTCAGAGAAGACAGAATAATTGTTGACTAGAACAATTAAAAAGACAACTTCGGGCCCTCCCTGGTGGCGCAGCGGGTTAAAGCAGAGCACTGAGAATCTAAAGCCATTTCAGCATGAGTTCGATTCCCGTCTGCCCCAGAGATGACCACATGGTATGGCAGACCTCTCCTGACCCTCCCATTGCTCCCCTCCGCCATCTGGCAATCTGAAATGTGACTTTCTCATTCATCACTGTTAAGTCTTAAAATCAAGGCCCTCCCTGGTGGCACAGTGTGTTAAAGCACAGCATTATGAAACTGCCACAGCCACTGCAGCACAAGTTCGATCCCCGGCCAGCGAGGTGACCCACATGGTGTGGCAGACCTCTCCTGACCCGCCGCTGCTCCCCTCAGCAGTGTATTTCAGTCCATCTGCCTGTTCTGCTCCCCACTCTGTCTCTGGTGAATCCTCTCACTGCCCCGACCCTCTGGCCTGTACCCCAGTTCTGTATGCATAAATAGATAAATCTTTAAAAAAAAAAAAAGACAACTTCATGTGAGCTGAAGGAATTAGAATTGGGCTTCAGAAATGAGCATAATTTAACCCCATAGGCTGTTCTTGAAGACCTGCTATACGCTAAGTTGTGGGGTCCATTTTATTATTATTTTTTAAGATTTATTTATTTATACATACAGAAATGGGTGTAGGCCTGAGGTGAGGGGGTGAGCAGATTCACCAGGGACAGAGTGGGGAGCAGATCAGACAGATGGACTGAAATACACTGCTGAGGGGAGCAGCGGCGGGTCAGGAGAGATCTGCCACACCATGTGGGTCACCTCGCTGGCCGGGGATCGAACTTGTGCTGCAGTGGCTGCGGCAGTTTCATAATGCTGTGCTTTAACTCACTGTGCCACCAGGGAGGGCCTTGATTTTAAGACTTAACAGTGATGAATGAGAAAGTCACATTTCAGACTGCCAGATGGCTTATGTGATCAGCAGGACCCATGTTGTAAAGTAACCTGCTCCTGAGAGTGTGTGGCTCGTGTTTCTGCAGGATACATGTGCTGTCCTTTCGTTCTGGACAAGGATGGAGTCAGTGCCGCTGCCATCACTGCAGAGTTAGCTAGCTTTCTAGCAACCAAGAATCTGTCTTTGTCGCAACAGCTGAAGGCCATCTACGTTGAGTAAGTCTCTACTGAGCTCTACTGAGTCTCAGGGAAGCAATAGTGTTTTAATGTTTAATTACGTACTTATGCGTGAAATATTAATATTCCTCCTAATGTTCTTTCTTTGGTTATAAATTCTGTTTCTCATGAAAACTAATTAAGAAATCGCTTTTCTCTTCTGATAATTAGGAATTAGCCATTTAATTAGTGATCATCATTCATGATTCTATCAATCCTTAACAGCTGACACTTAGTCACGGAAATGGTAATTGAATGATGGGATTTTTTTAAAGTGTCCAAATGTCAAAAAAGATGAAATGTGTTCATGAAATAGCTATTCAGTCTTTGCAGCAATTATTCAATTCTACCTTTGTGATGCCAGAGTAGCCAGCTATGATCCATAAGGCTCTGGGTATGGTGAGGCATGTTGCAATAAAACTTCCACTTATAATATACAGACACAATGGAGACTGCTTATAAATCTAGCTAAATAAAGGCCAGACAGCAGTTGGCAATCCCTGGGGGTAGACTGTGGCACCTTATCTCAATGTTGGGTTATTCGTTTCATTTCTTTTAGAAAGTACTGCTTGATGTTGGTTCTGTGTCCATGGTGTGGAGCTGATTTTGGCTCTGTTTCTACCCTGTGGAATTATTTATTCCTCATTTTGCATTTATTTGTATTTGTTTTGATAGGTATGGTTACCATATTACCAAAGCTTCATATTTTATCTGCCATGATCCAGAGACCATTAAGAAATTATTTGAGAATCTTAGAAACTATGATGGAAAGAATAATTACCCTAAAACTTGTGGCAAATTTAAAATTTCTGGCATTAGGGACCTTACAACTGGTTATGACGATAGTCAACCTGATAAAAAAGCTGTAAGTAATGGAAACTCTTATCAAACTCTTCTTGATCATCAATTCTATTTTGAGAGGCTTCACTTAATCATTTAATTAATTAAGGCTGATTTGGGGGCATTTAAACATTACTATAAATTACTTACAATGATTCAGGGAAAGTTAGATGTCATGGGATCAAACTCAAAGGGCTCTCAGCAGTGGTTGAAGCCAAAGGCATCATTGAACACATAAGGATACAGTACTTAGAAATGCAGGGTCTGCCTATGGCCACACAGTGAGTCATTGATAGCAGGATCAAGTCTGGTTCTTTTGGCTTGGGATCCAGCTTTTCCTCTCTTACAGCCCATGGTTGAACTTGAACAAGTTTCAGAACCACCTGGCAGCCTGGTGAAAACACCATGGACTGCAGCCCACTCCTGCTGACTAAGTAGTCTGCAGTGGGGGCCAAGAATTCACCTCTGTGGAAAGTGCCCAGTGATGCAGATTCTGCCGGCCCAGCTTTGAGAAGCGCTGCTTGCCTCCTGGCTGGCGTTCCCTGTCTCTGACTGTACAGGAGCTGTGGCGGTGAACACAAGTTTGTACTCTTCAAGCCATGTGTCTCCCCACCAGTGTCTAAAAAAGGCTCAAATATGGCAGGAAAGTATTGCTGATTATGGCAGAGGGGTAGAAGAGGGAGCGTAAGCACATCTATATGAGACAGAAGACATCTTCCTTGATATTTACTTCTTTATATATTTTATTGTCATCTACACACAATATACTTCAAATAAACAGATAGTATTAAAAGGGTGCAATGAAACGGGCCGCTCCAACCCCCGTCCTCTCACGGCCTTGTGCCCTGCCTTCCACCTCTTCTCTCCATTGCTTCTCTGACATTTACCACTACATTTCCAAACAAAGTGTTTTCATAGTGATGTTTCAACCGGTCACTGTTAACTTTATGAAGTTTTCATTATGGAGATAAGGATTTACTACTATTTTCGCTACCCCCCTTCTCTGTCCTTGCAATACATTTGTACCCCAACTTTCGTGATACCAGATTCTTGGCTTGTGATGACCAGTATCTGTTGTTTCAAATGCGGCCTCTTTGCCCATGTATCTGTTGCTTCTTCTCATACACTTCATTCATTTTAGTGCAGTTTGGGGAGTGCGCAGCTAAAAGTACATCTCCCAGAAATGTTATCTTTGTAAAAAAGTTCTTTATAGACTTAAAAAGTGAAATAAGGGCTAGTGTTTTGTAATGCATTATTAATCTACTTAAGACAATTTCTTGTAAATTGATATAGTTTGATTTAGTAAAACTTTAGTAGATTTAATGATTAGCTCTAGGAAATTGAAAAGCTAATGTACAACTTTGGTTAATTTTCATGAATTAACTTATTATTATTTAGCATTTCATTTGTGTGGAGTGCATTTTACGAATGTCCTCAAAAATGTTCTTTGCTAACCAATGTTTTTGTTTTTGCCTTATTTTCTTCCCTATCCTGGGTGGTATGTAATTAGACCAGAACAGTTTGTGTTGCTATTTACATGTGTAACATGCTAAATTAATTCCTAGGTTCTTCCTACTAGTTCAAGCAGCCAGATGATCACCTTTACCTTTGCTAATGGAGGAGTGGCCACCATTCGAACCAGCGGGACTGAGCCCAAAATCAAGTATTACTCGGAACTGTGTGCCCCCCCTGGAAACAGGTACCCTAGAAAGGACAGCTACTCTGATTTTTATTCCCTAACCCTCATTGGTTTTACTCAAAACCTAGGTGACTCACTTCATCTTTCCAACATGTATTGATAGTTTAATTAGGAATGTAGTTTTCAACCTTCAATATATTGTGATGTTACCAGCTGCTTAAAGCTTCCTGGGACAGCTGCTTGTTTCCTCCTCACTTACTAACTACTTACTTCTCTCCTGACCATCTCTGTCAGGGAAAATATTGTTCCTAATTTCAGCAAGTAGTAATGAGATTTCCCCTTTATTAGTACTTTTTTTTTTTTCAAAGAATTATTTACTTATGCATATAGAATTGGAGTGTAGGCCAGAGGTGCAGGGGCAGTAAGAGGATTCACCAGAGACAGTGGACAGCAGAATTGACAGTGGACAGGCAGATTGACAAAAGTACACTGCTGAGGGGAGCAGTGGGTGGGTCAGGAGAGGTCTGCTGTGCCATGTGGGTCACTTCCCTGGGCGGGGATCAAACTTATGCTAGAATGGCTGCAGCTAACTTTGTACCATCAAGGAGGGCTAGAAGAAGATTCCCAAATCTTCTGAATGAGTGTTCCAGCCCAACAAAATCGTGCATATGGCTCAAACATCAACCTCTGCAAATATATTTTAGAAATCATGAGAATATGTAATATATTGTGCTGTGGTTTCTCATTTATGCTTTTTGTGCCTCATGGGCCAAAACTGAACTATTATACAACTTGAACAAAAAAAAATATCTCATTTTCTAAGCCTTCGATTACTAGTCATTTCTTATAGTACTGTGCAAGCTTCACTGTTTGTATGCGTGTTAAATAATCAGCTATTTGTTACTATATTAAATATTGTTTTCCATGGAATTTTCTTTGTAATTCTTATTCTCACTTAGTGTTTTCATTTTCTACACTTCGTCCGTTGTAAGCAGCGGTCATTAGTCTGTCTTAAGAATCTGATTCCTCTCTACATTTGTCTTTTCCTTTCTTTATCCTGTGAAAATTTATCTAACATACAGAGAGAAGTTTTCTTCCCATTATAACAGCAGTGCTAGTTAATGTTTAAAGATCTATGGTATTTATATTTTCACCTGGCTTACTGAATGGGTTTAAATTTAAGTATTTGTTTTTGAATTGCTAAGGACACTTTGTAAGATTGTCTCTTTATTATATTCATAGAAATATTGCTTCCATTTTTTAGCTAGGTCAGTCTGTGAATATGCCACCAGGGGTCAAGCAAGGCCCTAGCATACCTAACATATGGTAACATTAAAAGTCACGACTTTTAGGTATCCTTATTTTCTGATAACCCTAAAATATATCACTGCATTGCCAACTAATCCTTTAAAGTAAAAAATTCTTTTCAAATGTAACTCCTGCTTATAAAAAAATAGTGTTGTGGCCTTGCTAGTGGTGCAAGAATTTAAGTCTCAGCACTATGAAGTTATCCACTGCAGCATGAGTTCCATCCCCAGACAGGGAGGTGACCCACATGGCACAGCAGACCTCTCTCCAGCTGCTCCCCTCAGCAGTGTATTTCAGTCAACTTACCTGTTCTGCTGCCCACTCTGACTCTGGTGAATCCTCTCACCCCCTGCTTCTCCCCCACACACCTCTAGCTCATAGCCCAGCTCTTGTATGCGTAAATAAATCGATCTTTAAAAATAAATAGGGAAAAGATACTTTTGTTCTCCAACTTATTATTTTGTCTTTAGCTTTGTCCAACTTTTTATTTTGGAATATTTTAAACCTACAGAAATGTTGAAATAATAATGCAGCAAATACCCACATGTCCTTCACTTGAAATGAAGATTGGCAAACTTTTTCTTTGAAGAGCCAAATAGTAAATATTTTAAGGTTTGCAGACCATATGTCTCTACCGCAACTACTCGGCTGTCATGGCAGGAATCGGTCAAAGACAAAGGATTGAGTGTGCCGGGTTCTAATAAAACTTTACTCACAAACACAGGCTGTGGGCCACACTGGCCTACCCAAACCTAGACTCAGCAATTACTAACAATTTGGTAACGTTTGCTCTCTTTTACCTTATCTATTGTCTACTTGGGCCCATTTCCCAGAACCATTTGAAAGTATGTCACAGATTTTAATATGCATCTTATAAAACAAAGACACTCATAATATTTTAACATTTAGATATTATCATTAGAGGTCAGAGTTCTAACAGAGAAATAAAACTAGAGATACCTATCTATCTATTCACTGATGAATTTTCATTTAGGTATAGTGTAGAAAAAAAATTACTAGTGATATGCCCTCTTGAGCACTGTTTTTTTCTCAAAGCATATTTGTAGAGAAGGAAAAAATAAAAACCAGAATCCATGTCTGTAATAAAATAGATTATTTCTGTGGTACTGTTTAGCTACTACAACGTAACAGTGACCTAAACTAATTACAAGGATTGCTATTTCTATTAAAATAAAGTTTGATTTAACGGGGGGGGGGAAGGGAGGGAAATGCACGGGACTATGGTGGTGGCACAGGGTGATTTGGTGATGGGAAACCCGCGGGGATTACAATCAAGATGGAAAAAAAAATGTGCAAAGTGGTGTAAAAATAAACTTTGTAATAAAAAAAAAAGTTTGATTTTATTGAGATGGTCAAAAATGAAGTAATGAAAGTTTGAGTTGAAACAATTTCGTGTTTTATATTTAGTACTTTGGTTTAAAAAGTCTTTAATGTGACTCATTCTATTCTAATGGCCTCATATCTCCATGAGTTGCCAGAAGCTTAATTACACAGGTTCATTTTATCAGTTACCTGCCTTCCAAATGTGTGCGTGTAGTAAGCGTTTACCACATGCTTAAAAATTTAATTTCCTTAAAGGGATAGAGCCCCCTAGATTCTAGTTTGCTCTTTAGTGTTCTGGGCTAGAATAATGAGGGTAAAGCCTGGGTGTCTGATTCCTGGCATGTGATTAGCAGGCCCACTAGGAGGCTCCCCATCACTGTCTAGTCTAGGAGAACCTTCCAGATGGCCTACAGTTGAACTTCCAGTGGCTTGACAGAAGACAGGATTTAGGAATACTCGTAGCTAGGAGACCAAGGACTTAACAGAAATATCATCTATAAAATTCAGCAGGATTTAATGACAACTAGAGTCTTGCAAGCTTTTTCAGCACTGTGAGATATAATATTGCAGATCTGTATGGGATGCTAGGGTCAAACATTGGCTCTTTAAAATTCTTATGAGAAGTGCGAAGGGATGATTGTGGTTATAGTAGAGAATGTGGAGACAGACCCTTTGGAGAAAATAACGGATATTATCTTTAGGGTTGTTTTGTTTGTTTTATTCAAGTCAACAGATGTGATCCTATGGTTAAGTCACTGAAGTTCTGTCTGGTCTCCTCTTTAGGCTAAATTTAATGCTACTTGCTTAATATGGGGAGAATTAAAAATATGCTTTGGAATAAATTACTGACGTGGAATGTTTTCCTCTTCTTTTCCAGCGATCCTGAGCAGCTGAAGAAAGAACTAAATGAACTGGTCATTGCGATTGAAGAACATTTTTTCCAACCACAAAAGTATAATCTGCAGCCAAAGACAGAGTAAAATACTTTAACTTTGTGCACAGTTACATTTATCGGCAATTAGCTTGAACATGATTTGTTAAGCAGTATTTTTCAGGGCCAAATGATTAAAGTACCACAGGAAGTATTTATATATTTGTAATAGACCTACCATTCCTCATTGTTTTATATTTGATCTAGGTGCATAACAAGATGAGAGGGTGAAAATAACAATATCCCTTTTAAAAAGTTGAGCCTGGGCATTATATGAATTTAAAAATGAAGATTTTAAAAATAACTTTCAAAAATATTTTGTGATTAATGTGCTCTAATTAGAGTAAATAGCAAATACACATTTTCTCTATGATTATTTTTATGTGTGATTGAAAGAGCTGGGGCATCTATATAGTTAAAAAATTCTCGGTTGTCATGTAGGTTACCAACTTTTTAAGTATATAGCAACACACATTTTATCAATTGCTTATACATTTTTGAAAAAAGACATTAAATGTTGTGTTTGTGTTTAGGACAAACACAATATACCAAAACTTATAAATTGAAGCAAAGAATTTTATAAATTGAAGCAAAGATGCTTTTAAAAGATAGTTTTTTTTTGTTTCTTTTTTTTACTTTTTTAGTGCAGATAATACATCATTCTATATTGTATATGTGCTAGGGAAAAAAACTGTGTTAACATTAATTTTATCTTTTATCTCTCTAAATCTTGAGTCAAAACAATTGGTTATTATAGTTTTTTGAGTTAGTGTAATTTCATATAATTTTTGGTCCAAAGGCAACAAGGACTGTAAGAAATAACTACTTGACCTTGATGTTTTTGGTCTGTTCTTAGTGATCAAAATCTAAAACCAAACTTTATTATAACATATCTAGTTTTTTAATTTAATCTGTTCTTTCTACTCCTCCTCATAAAAGATGACCTTATAACCTTCCAAACTCTTACTGCATACCCATGAACTAGGACCAGGCTGTTCTTTATAGACTTGATACACTTTTGTATCTCATTTTCCATTTTTAAAGCAAACCATTGCCCATTATTATTGTTAACCCAAATTTTTCTTAACAGTTTAAAAACAATGAAAAATTATAATACTATCAATAATCATTTTTCTAAAGGGAAAATTATTTTCATATTTTAGTGCTAGATAGATTGTACCAGAACTCTTAAGTATACAGTAGTCAATGTATCCTTTCAGCTGCTTCACTGCAGAAACTATTTACTTTTGCATTATGATGTTTTCTAATCTCAAACAGTTTTCTGGAAAATAGAAACGTGAGATCTGAGTGCTCTCTTTAGACATATTTTGGTTGATATCCTGAAGTCAAAGATTCTCCAGTTCTGTGCATAGAGTCCAGAGGATCAATCCAGAATTCAGAAAGTGGGAAATAAAATGTATTTTAAAAATTGCTTCTCGTGGGTCTCCCAGGTTGTGCAAGGACCGTGTGTGTGTGTGTGTTTGGCACCATGAAGCTATCTGCAGCCACTGCAGCATGAGTTGGATCCCCAGCCGGGAGCTGACTCACTGACCCACATGGCACAGCAGACCTCTCCTTGTCTCGACTGCTGCTCCCCCCAGCAGTGTATTTAAGCAGGTCTACCTGTCTGCTCCCCATTTTATTGCTGGTGGATCTTCTCACCTCCTTCTCACCCCCACACCTCTGGCCTACAACCCAGTTCTTATATGCATAAAAAAATAAATAAAATAAATAAAATTGCTTCTAGCAATGCTAATTAACATGTTCCTTCAATTATGAAGGTGGGCAACAAAATACTTAAGTATTTTCAGTCTTCCTATCTTGTGTCAAAAGAAATCTGATTTTGTTGTCACATTTCTAGATAGCTCAGATCACATATATTCATCACTCCCTCAAAATCATGGCAGTTATTTAGACCTGTTGTCTAGTATGTAAATAATAAGCAATATTCACCCGTATATTATCAGATTTGTGGTTGGCAAATCTTCTCTCCCATTCCATAGGTAGCTTTTCCCTTTTGTTTGTGGTTTCCTTTGCAGTGCAGAAGTATTTCAATTTGATGCCATTGTTCTGATATTTCTTAATGATTGAAAAAAAAAACAGAAAAAGTATACTATTCTTGGAAGAACAAAAATTTGCGAGTGTCTCCAATCACTAGAACTTAGTGACTTAGGTGCTCACTTATTGTTGGGGCTGCTTTTGCATCCGCTGAAAGTGGAAACCGAGGCTGGACTGCAAAAACCTAAAACATTTTCTAAGTGGATATCTAAATGTGCATTGACCCAGTATTAGAAAATTGTAAGCATCCTGAGGACAGAAATGATGTCCCATGTTTCTTTGTATCACTTTAAAAAAATATATTTATTTATGCATATGAGAAATGGGGTACAGGCCAAAGGTGTGGGGGTGAGAGGATTCACCAGAGACAGAGTGGGGAGCAGAACAGATGGCGTGACTGAAATACACCGCTGAAGGGAGGAGCAGTCAGGAGAGGTCTGCTGTGCCCTGTGGGTCAGCTCCCTGGACAGGGAGGGAATTTGTGCTGCAGTGGCTATAACCCGTAAGTATAGTTCTAGTGCAGAGACTTAACCCGTTGTGCCACCAGGGAGGGCCTGTTCCATGGTCTTATAATCCTTTTTTTGTGCATCTTCTAATCCTTGTTTTTAAACAAGAGGTTCCATGCTTTAACAGCTCACTTAGGAGGAAAGATTGACCTATCTCAGGGTAGTTAGAAACCTGAAGCAGGCACTGATGTCAAATAGAGGAAAATCTACAAAGTTTCTAACCTGAGGGAAATACTATACACAGACATTCCAAATGCCTTGTATTCCAACTTATATTCACTCACTCATTCATCACATTTATTGGAAGACCACTATGTTCTGGGCTCTTCTATGCATTGGAGATAGAGCAGTGGACAAAAGAGAAAGAACTCTGCCCTCATGGAGCCGGGAGGGGTGTGGAAACAGATGACAAATAAGGTAGCTAAGTCAGTGATACAGTGTATCAGGGGCAACATGCTCAGTGGAAGTATCAAACAGGAAATGGGGACACCAGGCAGGTGTGGCGACTGTAGCAGTGGCTTCTGGTTAGAAAAGACCTCACCGAGAAGGCGGGATCTCAACAAAAACTAAAGGTGAAATAAGGAGGGCCACAGTGTGCTGAGCTGGTTTGGGCAACTAGAAGGTCTGTGGCTGGAGCAGAGGGGCCACGTCCAGTGGCAGGCTGTGGCGTCCCAAGGCAGTGGCGTGGGGCTCGGCAAGGAATTAGAAGGACTTGTTCTTTGACTCTGGGTAATCTGGGAGACGCAGGAGGGGTCTAAGGAGAGCAGGGACATGGCTCAACTAGCATTTATTAATTTATTTTTTTAAAGATTTATTTCTGCATACAAGAGCTGGGGTGTAGGTCAGAAGTACACTAGGTAAGGGGATTTATCAGAGACAGAGTGGGGAGCAGAACAGGCGGACTGACTGAAATACACTGCTGAGGGGAACAGCAGGCGAGACAGGAGGGTCTGCTGAGCCCTCGCGAGGGTCAGCTCCCTGGCCTGGGACGGAATTTCTGCTGTAGTGGCTGTAGTTAGCTTCATAGTGCAGACACTCAACCCCCTGTGCCACCGGGGAAGTCCCCCACTAGAATCTTAAGAAATGTGCAGGGCCACAGTGTTGAGACGAGGCTGCGGAGTGAAGAGGATGAAAGCATGTGGCCAGTTAACCAGCTACTGTATTTTCATTTACGCACAGTCTAGAACAGTGTTTGGGGGTCTTGTGGTGTGGGAGCTGAGTCATTTGCCAGTCTGGGCAAAATCTCTGAGATCCGTCCCTCTGACATTTTACGACAAAATTCTTACAGATCTTGGATAAGTTAAGATATGACAAAAGATGTCATGTTTTCTAGCACTTTCTCTGCTTTGATCCTGGGGCCTCACCCACAAAACCAGCTCCGGTGGGAAGCTGGCCCCTAGCAAGGCTGGATGTTGTCAGAGAGCTCAGCAGAAACAGCTGCTTGTACAGCGCAATGATTTAATGAGTAGAAGAGGGAACTGAAACGGGAAGTGGGACCAGTGCCCGGAGTTTTATCTGCTTTGTCCTTAAAAGGAGATTAGACACGACACTGAATCCTATTCCAGGGCTTGGATGCCATCCACTGGGTCCCACACCACACGGATGCCTGTTGTCTCACCCACTGGCAGCACGGTCCTGCTGGACAGTCCACATTGTAATTGCTGAAATTTCAGAATCCACATTGGTTATCTGCTCATTTTATTTATTGATTTATTTTCGCCACTATGTTTTATTCTTATGCTTTTCAGCCAGCAGTTTAAAGGACCTCAAATTGCAGGCAAATCAATGCAATCTCTCATCTTAACTTTAATCCATTTTCTTGTTATCTGCAAGAATATTTCTTACAGATAATAATATAGATACTTGGGCATTTTGCAGCAACATGGATGGAGCTGGAAAAGATCATGCTTAGTGAAATAAGCCAGAAAGAAAAGGAAAAATACCGATGGATTCACTCATAGCAGGAGCATAAAGAACCAGACGAGAAAATAATAATGATGAACAACTATATACCAGAGACGTTTTATGGGGTGGAGGGTGGGATGGAATCAAAAACAGTGGGGGGAGGGAAGTATACTGGACTACTGTGATGACACACGGGTGATTTGGTGATGGGAATCCCACAGGGATGACAACTGAGATGGAAACAAGGACAAAGTGATGTAAAAATAAACTTATATTATTAACAAAAAAGATACTTGGGCATAACTTCACACATTGTTTAGATGCTAATAGCTTTGCCTGAGACTGGCAGACAGGCAAATACCCAGGGCAGGTGCTTCCAGGCTGCATCTTCTCAAGCTTAGGCAGATGCAGTTCTCAAGCTTCAGAGTTTTCCCGCTGGGCTGGAATTTGCCTCAGAAACTGCCCCGTAGGGCTCCATTCACCACCAGCCCCATGTACACAGTGGGGAGAGAAGTCCCAGAGGTCTCCATAAGCCCCTGAAAAAGACTTGAAATTTCAAGCCGATAAACTCGTCAACCTTCCTTGGGGCTCTAGCCAAGATAATCTTAATCCTCTGTTTAGACCAATTTTGGAACTAGGCGTTAAGAACTCTTAGCTCCTGTCTATTTGGAAAACAGGTGAAAATATATATCCATAATTAGAATTTAGATTCCTAACAATTACACATACTTAGATAACATC